GCTGGCAGATTCGGCATCTGGTGAGAACCCGCTTCCTGCTTGTAGGTGACCACCTCACATCACACAGAGAAGGCTCTGGTCTCTTTCCCTCCTTACAAGGGCACTAATCTCATCACAGGGACCCCACTCACATGACCAAAATTATCATCTAAACCAAATTACCTCCCAAAGGTCCCGTCTCCTGATACCATCACATTGGGGGTTAGGGCGTCAACATATGAATTTTAGGGGGGACACAACACTCAGTCCATAGCAGAGACCATTGCAAGTCATTCAGGCAAATGAAATGTGAACCTTGGACCAACTGGTGGAGGGAAAAAAAAATGAATGAATTTGAACAATATTCAGCAAAGTAGAATCAACAGGAAGCCAAACTAAGCAGGAAAAACCACCACCAACCAATTGTCAGGGGTGCTGGCCCCCCTTAAATGAATCACAGAATCTCCAGGCGGAAAAGGATCATAATGTCCATCCAGTACAGCCATCAATGTGCTGCTTGGACCTGCCCACCAAGCATGGAAACGAAACATTCCGGCTGACTCTCTGAAGACACCAGTACCACGACGGCCAGAGGACCGGCTCTGCTTAGAGAAATTCAAGCCAAGGAGGGCCAAACCTGAACCACATCCAAAACCAGACACGGTCCCTGTGTTCCAGATGTGAATGCTCTGTAAAGAAGGTTAAACTCAAACCTCTTTTTGCCTCTGCCATTACTTATTTATTATTCCTCCCTTGCATCCTGTCTGCCTAGTTTTGAGTCTGGAAGCCCCGAGGCTGGGTCCACTCCTGAGCCGTTTTTAGCATGTGCCCTGCACATGGCTAACACAGAGTAAGCGCCGGGCAAGGACAGGAACCTTCAGGTAGGATGAAATCAATTTGTAATTCTTTTCCCAAGTAGCCTCTGACCAAAGGAGATAATTAAGGAAGATGGTGTATGGGGGGAGGTGGGGCAAAGGGCGAAGTCTGCCACGAATTAACAAAGACTGTGAATAAATAGCTGTTCTTTGCTGGCAGAACAGTGAACTCTAGTTCACTGAGGGCTTAGTTCTGGGGCCAATTTTTATTTAACAAATTCTGAGAGCAGGAAATAGACAGTAAGCCTGAAACTGACATTTGCACACATGTCATCTCTACCTAGCTTCTCTGCCTCCCCCTCCTCACCACTCGTTCTCTTCTCCTCTTTGACCAAGTACCAGGGAGAATTGGGCTCTTAATCACGTACAGAGGGGGTAGGGTCAACCCATCACATGTAATCCACAAACACAGGAAGAAATGCACCTGAACCACGTGAATACAGACCCTTCATTTATTACGTTGTAGAACCAAGCCCTGAGGACAGGAGGCTGGGACTGGTCGGGATGGGATCTCTGGCTAGAAGGCGGGAGCAGCTTTCCTTAACAGAAGAGGGAAGGGAGTCGTCGAAGGAAAAACTGGGTAACTAATCAGGAGTGGTCTCAGAATTTGGACAGGGTAGTCTATGCGTTTGGGGAAATTATGTGCAAAATTGCACTGATTTTTAATCACTGAAGACAGGAAGAGAGAGGGATGTGAAAATGAAATTAAAGAAATTAAACTGTTTCCCCTCCCCCCCCATGTTCTCTCTCATGTATCAAAGAGACAAAGGGAAACAGGTAATTGATTTTGTTGCCTTCACTACTCTCTGGGTGTAAGCAATGGAATCCTCATTCTACAGCACCAAATGAATCACTTTCGTGCTTAGGAAAAATGGGATTCGCCGGGGACATCATAGCCCCATGGGATCTTGTGCCACGTGGCTACACTTTGGGAGGCCAGAATTTCAGAAAGCATCATATCGTTAATTGTATTTCGGGGGAGAGTACCATCCTTGACTGACCACACTTACGGCGTGTGGGGGATGCTGCAGGCAGCAGATCTCAGGGGGGAGCCCTGGGCGTGGTGGCTGGCGGGGAGACCCTTTGGGAGGCCTGCAGGGGACCTGTGAATTACGGTCTCCTCCAACAAGCTTCCTTCACTTAAAAACAACCAACTCACTCGTCCTGAAATCAAACAGAAGTGCCAACACCATGACTTGAATTTCTTGTGACCTTTCTCCCCTTGCCTAGAAAAGCTATGGTTTTTACCAAAGACCACTGAAGAAAATGAATGATGATTATTGCAATGACTGTAGCATTAATGAGTTAATGGAATAATGCAGCACTCCCCGTATTTCCAGTTTCTCCTCCCAGTTGAAGTTCTGTTCTCCCACAGCTCTTGCCACCATATTACTCAGTTTTGGGGTCAGAGACCCCGCTGGGGAGCTGATGGAAGCTAGGAACTCTCTTCCCAGAGATGCACAAGGAGGTAAAATTTTGCACATACTTTCAGAAGGTTCATAGATTCCCCTCCTCCTCTCAAAAGAAAAGAAAAGAAAAGAAAAAAGATCCCTGAGACCTTGACTTAGAACTTAGTATTACAGCAATACTCCTTCATTGATTGGGATTTTGACCCGATCACAGGGTCCCAATACTGAGCTCACTGCCTGCAAACTAACGGCTGCTTGAGGATGAGAATTATTGTTAACCTGACTTTTAAGACAAGAATGGTGAAATGAGAGCGATGATACTTAGAAGTAGAGAGAAAGCATGTTTATGTTGTGCAAAAAAATAATTGGTCTTGAAGCCGTTTTCCATTTTTACTGGGACTTGGACCACTTGGAAATTGCACAGCGTGAAAAGAGAGCCAGTTTCTCTTACACAGACAGGGATCTGGAGCCTGAGCCGTTGAGAGTTGGATTCATCTAGAAAGACGTGTAGCTACAAGAATGAGCTTAGATAGCGGCCTAGGGGAAAACAGAGGGGCCCCCAAAAGATCAGGATGCAGCCTGAAATCTTGCTTCTTCTCAGGATCTGCCCACCAGGACGACACCGGCGGCAAGGGTGTCAACAATAAGCAGGTCCAGGCACAGACTCTCCGTCGTTTCCCGACCTGAGCTGCCAAGGCCCCATCTTTCCTCCCCAGGCTCTGAACCCGCTACTTCCAGCACTCCTGCTTCAGGATCTGAATTTCTGCCCCACAGCCCCTTCCCCATAGATACTGACTGTCAGCAGCATTCTGACATTTGCCCCCGGGCCATACGCTCTGCTAGCAGACAGGTCTAGGGCTGCAAAGCCAGGCCTGCAGGCGGTGATGGACAGTGTGGAAGGACCATCCCTGTAACCTGCTGGTCCAGCAAGGGATGGCCTAGTGAATCCTATTTCTGGCCCAGGGCTGAGAGGGAGCCCAGGTGTCAGGAAGGTGTCATCCTAATAGAACTGAGCGTTGTTAGTTCCTGCCACTGGGTGGAGGGTAAGGGATAGCTCAGGCATCTTTGTGGCCTCAACCTTGGTCCAGCAGACAGTGATGCTTTCAGTCAAGCCTCACTTGTGTGAGAGGACAATGCAGATGGATAACTAACGCCCCACTTGGGGGAGGAGGAAGGCAAACACAGGAGAGCAAACCCATCCTGCTATTTCTGCGGAGCAAGAGAAACCAGCTCTGCTCCCCAGTCACTTGACAACTACCGAGTGTGGACAGATGGCCCAGGTTCAAGTCCAAGTCCTCCACTTTCTGCCTCTGTAACTTTGGACAAGTTACTTATTGTCTCTGTGCCTCGATTTCCTCACCTATAAAATGGGGATAATAATGGTACTTACATCACTGAATTGTTACAAGGATTAAGTAAATTAATCCGTGCAGGGCTCTTAGAAGCATGCTTGGTTCACAGCAAGCAATTTCATTTTCTTTTATTTATTGATTTTTTCCTATTAAACCTATTTTTTTAATTGATGTATAGTCAGTTTACAATGTTGTGTCAATTTCTGGTGTACAGTATAATGCTTTAGTCATACATACACATACATATATTTGTTTTCATATTCTTTTTCATTATAGGTTACTACAAGATATTGAATATAGTTTCCTGTGCTATACAGTATAAAATTGTTGTTTATCTGTTTTATATATAGCAGTTTGTATCTGCAAATCTCGAACTCCCAATTTATCCCTTCCCACCCCCTTCCCTCACTGGTAACCACAAATTTGTTTTCTATGTCTATGAGTCTGTTTCTGTTTTGTAAATAAGTTCACTTGTGTCACTTTTTTAGATTCCAGATAAAAGTGATATCATATGGTATTTTTCTTTCTCTTTCTGGCTTACTTCACTTAGAATGACGACCTCCAGGTCCATCCATGTTGCCACAAATGGCATTATTTTATTCTTTTAATGGCTGGGTAGTAGTCCATCGTATAAATGTACCACAGCTTCTTTATCCAGTCATCTGTTGATGGACAGATGCCTCAGCAAGCGGTTTAAATGTTAACTGTCACCACTGTGTTGAACCCATAGCCAGGGTCCTCGCCTGCATGGAACTCAGAGTCTGTTGAGGGAAGGAGAAACAGCACAAATGTGGTACCACCCACCAACTAAACTTAGCTAGAGGAGCATCCACACCTCTTCCTCTTCCACCTCCATCCAGGTGCCAAAATGCCTCTTCTCACCCCTCCCTCCAGGACTTGTTCTACCAGCCACCCTTCCTCACTCTCATATATTTAGTCTCCTTTGCTTTAGTTTATGCACCTGTTCAAAGCTTTCCAGGTTCTAAAAAACAAAGCCCTCCTCCTCCCTCTCAAGGAGATACCCCTCTTCCTCTGCCCTTTCTACAAGAGGTGTCTACCCGCATTAGCTCCACTTGTCAACCTGCACTCGCTCCTCTGCCCCCCACCCCTGTCTTCCACCTGCACATAAGTGCCTCCCCCACAGGCCACCAGGGACCTCTTAAACCCAAGGATCTATTTGTGGCCCTTACCTTACCTCCCACCACATGCCAGGGATGCGCTAGGCACTGGGAGGCAAACATACTCAGACGGGAGGAGGGGATAGCTCAGTGGTGGAGTGGGGGTTTAGTATGCATGAGGACCTGGGTTCAATCCCTAGTACCTCCATTAAATAAATAAATAAACCTAATTTACCAACCCCCCCAGCAAAACAAAACAAGACCAAAAAAAGTGTAAAAAATTTTTTTTAAAAAAGATACTCTTTACAGGGGGTCAAGGCTTTCGGGGGTGCAGGGGGAGGTGTGGAGAGATTAAGTATATGGAATAACTGCAAATCATCAGGGCAGGTTCCACGGTAAGGACCAAAATGGGTTGGCAGGGCTGGCTCCTTCTGGAAGCTCAGAGGAGAATTCACTTCCTTGCCTTTTTCAGCTTCTGGAAGCTGCCCACATTCCTTGGCTTGTGGCTCCAGATCACTCTGATCTTTGCTTCCTTTGTCACAACTTTTCAGACCCTCTTGCCTCCCTTGTTTCTGTACAAGGATCCTGGTGAATCCAGATTATCCAGGATAATCTCATCAAAAAAACAAAAACAGAAACAAAAACCCTTAGCATAATCACATGGCAAAGTTCGTTTGTCAGGTAAGGCAATATATTCACAGGTGATTAGGATGTGGACCACTATTATTCTCCCTACCACAGAGGGGGCTCCCCCTGGAATAGCCAGAGAACTCTTCAGAGAGAAGACTCGTGGAGCAGAATCTTATAGGTGTAGTCTTATTTGCCAGAAGCTGGGACGAGGTGTTATGAACAAAGAAATAACACCTGCTGAGAGGCCAGATGGAGAAAAAAAAGGTGCGTCTGGAGACCTATAAGCACCCGTATGGTTGTACGGCTGACAAATAGGAAGAGGGTGCCTCTGGGGATTAGATTAAAAAGGAAAAGTAGAAGCCGGATCATGAAATATTTTTGTTGTTGTTTTTTTAAACAATATTGTCTGAAATTTATCTGAAATGTATTTAACTTGCCATTACTTTAGACTATGCTATTGTTTCTTTAAAAACTTCCTTAAGTTGACTCACTTTTTGTTCTAAAGAATAATGTCCAAGAAATCACAGGCTTTATATGTTGCTTGTATCTTTCCAGTGTTAAAAGTGAATGCGTAACTATAAAAATACACCCATGAATGAGTGCCATACTTTGAGAAATAAAGCCAGAGGCAACGGAAACCACCCAAATGTTTTGAGCAGGGAAAGAACACGACCACGTTTGCCTTTTGGATAAGTATCATTCCGGCAGCATTAATCACTTTGGACTGAATGGAAACCAGTGAAAATCACAACAAAAAAGACCATAAATTAGGAGACTTCCATGATAGCTGAGGGGAGAGATGAGAAATGAACAGAGATAGGACCTGTGGGAGGGGAGTGGAGGGTTCAGATGTGAATAGTATCAAGGAGGCAGGAATGACAGACAACAGTGAAGACGGGGAAAGGGAGGAGCTGGGGGTAACTGTCAGTGTTTCGGCACATGCAATACAGCAGATAACTGTCCATCCGCCACGATCATAAATACAGGGAGAGTTGACAGGGGGAGAGGGGCGGATAGGGTGGGAAGGATAATAATTGCTTTCATCTGGACATCCTCTAGGGTAGCACTTTCCAGGAGAAATAGGCTGTGAGCCACCTATGCCATTTTTAATAGTCAGATGGCCACATTGAAAAAAAAGTAAGAAGAAATGGATGAAATTAATAATATATTTTATGTCACCCAATATATCCAAAGTATTCTATTTCAAGATGAATTGATATAAAAAAAAACCACTGAGATGTTTTACGTTCTTTTTTCCATTTCAAGTCTTCAAAATTCAGTGTATGTTTTTACTCAGAGAGCACATCTCAGTTCGAACAGTCCACACACTCAAAAGGTACCATGGAGAGTGGCTACCGTATTTGTTGGACAGCACAGCTCTAGGAGCACTTGCTGAAGGCAGGCCAGTGTGATGATCAGACATTATCTGGGGGAGGATGAGGATCCTGATCAGATATTGAGGGTGATTAGATTTGCTAAAATGGGGTTTTACAAGGAAGTGCACAGGTGGGTCTAAGAGAAGGTTGACGAGCCTGACTAAAGTTTGACCAAGCAAAGAATCTGTCATGATGGGACAGGAGGGAAAGGGGCAGGGCACAACCATTAAAGGAGTGACACAGCAATTGAAGACTTGACTCTCAGTAGACCCTGAACTTCATTATATGCTCACTGTAATATATTAGCTGCAGAATGGCACTCGCACAGGTGCCAGGACAGTCGGGAGGCTGGCCATAAAGGTGAACGAGTGGGTGATGGCACAACTCCCGGGAATCCGGGCCCTTCCTCGGAAGTAGCTGGAATAACCCTCCCACTTGGTAGCATATGAAGTTACAGTGCCCATGAAAACTAACCGCCCTGCACCTGTGGTCGCTCTCTCTTGCCTTCAGAGACACCTGTACTCTGTCTATGGCACATGTACCTCTCTAAATAAATCTAAATTCAATCTACTATGGCTCGCTCTTGAATTCTTTCCTGTGTGAAGCCAAGGACCCTCACCTGATGGGGTGTTCACAGGAACTTGCCTGGCACCTGGGACATGGCCATCCTCTCTGGTTCCATTTTTCCTGTATCAACAATTCCACCCATTAAACCTGTTAGATACAATCTTTGGAGTGGAGCTGGGAAATTTGTATTTTTTTCTTTTGTTTGTTTGCTTGCTTGGGGGGAGAGGTAATTAGGTTTGTTTGTTTATTTATTTATTTTTAATGGAGGTACTGAGGATTGAACCCAAGATCCTGTGCATGCTAGGCATGCACTCTAACCACTGAGCTATACCCTTCCCCCTGTGGTAAATTCATATTTTTAACAAGCCTCCACCAGGTAGTGCAACCCAGGAGAATCATCTTTCAGTTGGAGCCAGGTGGACTTGAGAACTCAGGGGAGACAGTTCCCAGCAGGAAGGAGTGCTGATGAGCCCTCTGGGGAAGACTCACAGAGAGAAAGCAAGCTGATGGGGGGAAGCACAGAGACAGACTTGTGTTCAGGACAAAGGGAGGGATGAGAGATCTGGTAGATTATCTGATCCCAAGATTGTAGCCGCGCTCCAGGCTCATCAAGGCACTGTGGCTTAGACAGGAGTCTACAACCTCTGCTCGGGACAGTTCCACTCAAGTTGTCCTGGAGCTCCCAAAGAGCTCCAACCCCGGGGCGTGGGGAAGGAAGAAGCGAATTCTGAGGATGCTAGCCTCCCACACAAAGCAGGGGTCAGCCTCTTATTCTCCCAGCCATTCAGGGCTCTGTCCAAGGTCTTTTCATTTTTGCCCTTGTCTTCTCACTCTGGGTTCATCTCACCCCTCTCTGGGGCTTCAAAGCCCATTTATATGCTGAGGGACCCATATTTGCATCTGAAACTCAAGAGCCCATCCCCACCTCAAATGCCAGACCTATTTTTACCAAATGCCTTCAGCTGCCTAGAATACCTGGCCGGGGGAGGGGGCGGGCGGGCTGATATTTAACATTTCTAAAGCTGAACTCACCCCAAAACTTGTTTGCCTGCTAACAGTCAATGTTTCAACTAGTAGCCTCACTACCCTTTCAGTTCCCCCAAAGCTAGAAGTCTGGGGGTCATCTTACCCTTTTTCCTCCCACCACACACTAAATCACCTGAAACCCCTTCCTTTGTCTGCATTCCTGCAGCTTCTGTTCAGACACCCTCAACTCTATGCATGACTAGTACTGCTCCCTCCCATCTAGAGGTGTGGCCCCATTTTCCCCTCTGGGAGACGGCATCCTCCCAAATGCCTTCTTTTACAAGCTAAACTAAAAAACAAATCAGCAGGCACACTCTGCTGACTCGGGCACATCCAGCATAAACACCAGACTCCTCAGTGTGAACCATGCACCTTCACATAGGGCCTTACTCACCTCTGTTAAGTCCCCTTCCCCCACTCCCCCAAATCTTTTTTTCTAGTTGTGACATTTCTTGCTAAGAAAAAAAACAACCAAAACACAAAACACAAAACCTAACACTCAGTACCCCTCAAACACAAACAACTCACAAGATCGATTTTTAAAGGGAGGAAACGAGAGGAATTAAGACATCCGCATCCTCCTCCCCTGATTCTGGAGGCCCGGAGTGCCCCCTGGGGATTGTGTGTACCTGCGTTTTTCAAGGAAATTCAGAGGCAAATCTAGGTTTGTCCGCCACGGGGTTATGCCACTCTTAACAAAAGCCCAACACATCACGTTAAAGAATCCAGGTACTATGTTCTTTCCTAACTTACTGTACGGGGACAGAGAAAGGACAGAGAAAGGAGGAGCCCGCAGCAGCCTGGGCTCCTAGGCTGCATCACTATTGCATCTTCACCAAGATCAAAACCCTGGGGGAACTGACAAGAAGAAATTTTAAGAATGAAAACAGCATCTGCGTAGCCTACAAACCTGCCAGCACAACCTAAAGTACCTTTTCGTTAAAAGCAAAACAAAAAACCCTGCCCCCAAATGTATTTGGAAAATGCTGAACCACTCTAGAAAAGTTTGCTCTGCATTCCTCCCCACTCCTCGGTTTTAAAGGAAGCCCTAAAAGACGTCGTCGCAAAGCATTTTGCTTTATTTTTATTCAGCAGTGCAGCAGAAAGTTGAAACCCTGAAATAAGTAATTTCACAGGCTGCAGCACTGCTGTGGGTGTTAATTTAAACACATACAGTAATAGGCTGCCATGTTTACTTGGACCTGGGCAGAGCAAACAATCTAACTGCGGAACGTGAGGCTCTGACTTCCTACCAAGCACATGAAACGTTCAAGAAACTTTGCAGGACGTGTACACGTTCGCTAAGGTGCCTATGAACTCCCGAGCCAGACTGAACAATAGAAGGGAGAGGTGATGGAAGTCATTTCAACCAAACGCGCCGTCTGTGTCTCTGAGTCCTTCATCGCAGCAGAGGGGACCTTTCCTCTGCTCCTGCTCTATTTTCGAATCGTTTCCAGGCTCATTGTCTGCCGGCAGCGCGCGTGGAGCAGGTACAGCGTCCCGCCGATCGCCGCGCGGCTGAGTCCCGCCAGGTTTTGGAAAACATTCCCGGCCCTTCCAGCGGGTCAAGGAAAAGGAGGTGGCCCAGGCGCCAAGGCTGCTGCCAAAGCAACTCGCAACTTTTGAAATCAATCCTTTTTGCATCATGCAACGGATGCCACCGCTCCTCGGGCTTGCAACCCCCCACCCCTCCCCCGAGACCAATCATTGCCGCGCTCGGGCCTGCACATCGC